TAAGCTTCCCTCCAAACTTGTTCTCATTCTAGTTTTTCTCATCTCAGTAAATGGACCATCATTCCACCAAGCAATCAAACTGAGGACCATTCTGAGTATTTTCTTCTACTTTACTCCCTTCATACACACAATCCCTTACCAAGTCATCACACAAATTTAGAACATAAACCCTTTTTTCCATTTCCCACCAGTGCCAGATGAGACTCAGGAACCTGGACTGACTCGAACTACTGCAGTAGCCTCTTCCTGGGTCTCTCTGCCTCCGTGGGGCCCTGTTCCATGTGCCCCATCTTCCCAAACCATTTTCCATCCGACAGCTAAAGTTGTCTTTCAAACCAGTAAACCTTATTTGGGTCAGTGGGCAGCTATGGCTAACACTGTAGTTCCTGCACGTGGCGCATGAGGCTGTGGCCGGCCTGCCTCTTGGGGCTCTCCTGCTGGCTCTGCATCCTGGCTTCTCCTTCCTGTCTAGGAGCTTTCCAAGCTATTCTCTCCTCTGCGTGCAATTCTCTATCACCTGCTTTTTACCTGACTAATATCCACTTGTCTTTCAAGTGTCAGATTAAACAGTATGCCTTAGAATAGTCATCCTTGAATCCTCTAAATTCTGTCCCTTTTCTATTGGTCTCTTTTATAGTGTCCTACTTTTTCTTATCAGAGCACTTATCACAACTTATAATCATAAATGTATTTGTTTTTAATTGTTCTGTGTGGGACTCCCCCAATAGACCATGCTCCATGAGTACAAGGATAATGTCTGGTTTTTTAACCACTGCAGACCCAGAACCTGACCCAGGACAATGGTGGATTTAAAAAAAAATTTTCCTAGTGAAAATGAGGACGAAATACAAGACAAGAGACTAAAGGAAAGGTCATAAGATGAAAAAAGAGGATAAAAGTACAAGACAGAATCAAGGTATAGAGAAAGGAAAATGTGCTTTTTTCCCCTTAAATTCAGCTCAATAAATTTCCATAAAACAATAATGCAGGATAACTATTAAACTGTTTAACTGGAAGTTTCTGTCCTAGCTTTTTTATCTAAACACATGACCCTTGAACAAGTTCAATGAATTAAATGCCCTCACAGATGACTAACTCTCTCATTATAAATATTTCTGCAATGACAGGCAAGAAAGAACATGTATCTCTAAGGGATAAAATTACATTATTTGTCCCTAAGTCAAATATCTGAAGAAGAAAGAAAGCGAATGTTTCAGAAAGTGAGAAAGAAAGGCAATGTTTAATGGCCATCACCCTAGACTGGGAGTGAGTCACTAAGGAATTCATTTACCTTTTCTTTGCCCCAGTTCCCTCTACTATATATTATCTCCAAGACCAATGCTCCCTTTCTACTAAAAAGAGCCTATGGTTTTATTAGTCATGCATTTATTTAATTCATTCAATATGCAGCGGATCTAGGTAAAGGTGTGTTTGAGCTCTGAACAGACTGCCAAGCTTAATGGTTAGGGAGTGTCTTCTAGATTGAGTTTTGTTACCTTTGATTTTAGTGATTTATAAAACTTAAGTTTACGTTGGTTACTCTGACCTACAACACCGTGAGAAACATCACAGAAATGTTTTTTTTAATACCTATGTTAAAGGAAGTCATCTAGAAGAACAATGGACAGGAGACTCTTACATATTATATTTCCGAAATCTAAAGTATATTTTTGATAATGTTTCACAGTTAAGAGGACATGAGCCTTTTGACCAAATCTATCTGACCCTCTTCAGGACTGGCTGTCTTCAAATAAATTTCCTTTAATTTCAAAGCTGGCAAAAATTGGACTCTCTGCCACCAGAAGATAAACTGTTACTGATCTAAGAAAAGTGACACTGCTAGAGAACTGGGAACAGATTGAGACTGACAGCTATGATCAAGGTGATAAGTAAAGTCGATATAAAACTCATCACAGTGTTTTATCAGGAATCATCTGACCTGGTTTGGGCAGCAAAGGGAGAATTATTCTGGCAAGAGGTCTACCATAAGAAAGAGTTGTGTCTTTTTTCACAGGCGTTAATTTCTTCTGACATGATCATTTCAGACACTTTATAGAAAAAACATAGTGATCACAATTTTCTTTCAGTTCACTGACAGTAAGGGCTTTGGGGGTGAGGTAGATTATGGTAAGTGAGCAGACTTGGAGCCACCTTCAGGGGTAAGGGGTCACCATGCAATTTCCCTTCTGTGTCTGCCGCACTCATGCCCCTGGACAAGATTAACTCAGATGAGATACACAAGGGGTCACCCAAGGTTATCTACAGTCAGGAAGTTACAGGTAGAAATTGCAAGTAGAAAAGAAAGGAATCTTCCAAGCTATATCCCTAAGTCTTCTAGTAATGTTTTCTCCAATATACACGGTACGTGTATATATAAAAAAGTCAACATTAAAAACATATTGCTTGGGCTGGCCCTGTGGCCGAGTGGTTAAGTTTGTGCTCTCTGCTTCGGCGGCCTAGGGTTTCACTGGTTCGAATCCTGGGTGTGGACATGGCACCGCATCAGGCCATGCTGAGGCAGCGTCCCACATGCCACAACTAGAAGGACCCATGACTAAAAAAAAATACACAAGTATGTACCAGGGGGCTTTGGGAGAAAAAGGAAAAATAAAATCTTTAAAAACAAACAAACAAAACCATATTGCTAAATGATTCTCCAAGGCAGATACTTTAATATGTTTTTATTTATATACACATTAGCAAAGAATTACTGGAGAGTGAAATATACTTTTACTTTTATATTAAGTTGATTTGTAAACTGGAAAGCCTGATCATTTTTAGAGCAAATGAATCTAGAAAATAATGATCAGTTATACAATAAGACCTTTTGGTACACAAAAGACATCTCAGAAGGCTTGTCCTCAAACCCAAGGCCAAATGCTATGGCTCTTTGTCCAAAAGTTCATTTTCCTACACAGTCCAATCAATTCTCCCAGATCTGGTCACTTTCACTTCTCCCGCTGCTCCAGGAGGACTTGACCCGAGTCAGCCTTAATCTAAATGCAGCTTGGTTCTAACTTAATTTTCTCCCCTTTCTTTCAGCTCCAATACTCTCTACAATCCTGTCATTTTCTGATTAGGTTTTTCTTTATGTCTACCTGTATAACTATCAGCAAATAAGAACCTCTTCAAGGCTCAGTTTCCTCATCTGTGTAGTGGGACTAATATCCTCTAGTCTCAGCATTGCACAATCTCATGTGTGATACAAGAAACACAACCTACACGATGTATATTCATTACATCTGAATAACGAAATGTTGTTTTCTTGCTTTTGAGGTTTATGTCTGACCTTCTTTCAATCCACCACAAGCACAGTCTCATTTGATATGTCCCAGTGTATATTCTAAGGTACAAATTCAAAGCATTCACAATGCCCATCACTGGCAGTAATTCACCAGGCTTTAGCTTCCAGTTTCTTCTCTTTGCTTAATGAGTAAAACACGCACCATTGAAGGAGCTGAAGAACAGTCTTCAGGGTGCATACTGTTTGTGATTACTCATCAGGAAGCAACCTCACTGTTAGTTTTGTCTTGCCTTCTCATCCTGGTGTCTCAGTTCCTGCTGTCCCCATCTCCTCCAAGTGCATGGCCTGTATGCCTGGCTGGGGAAGTTTTACCAAGATCCTCAGTGCCTAGCTTACTCAGTATTCCCTTCTCCAAAGACTAACCCTGGATGCATACCATGAGAAAAGCAAATTAAAACAAAACCAATGTCTAAAACCTATGTCTAACCATCTCTTACAATTCTGTTTAGATTTATCACAGATTTAAGTTGAAGAGCATAAAACTGGTCTACAGCTAGAAGTCATATTAAAACCCTTAAAACTAATATAATGGATTTCACAAACATACATATTCCAAACAAAATAATTTTTTTCTATAATTCCAAAAGAAATATTCTCTAACTCTATACCTAAAGGAGACTTTGTGAAATTCATAGTACTTTGAAATAAACTGCCATCCACGTAAAGAGGATTCATATTTAACCAAGAAGTGTTTCCTATCACTCCTTCTGAATGGCATCAGAAGGTATCATAAGAATACGATGGTTGTTAATTATTGTGTCTCCAATATGTGTTTTCTTATTAAGAGTAGATGGAAAAAATGATTATTTGATGAACTGGCATCTATACTTTTAATTTCCATTCTGTTATAAATCTGTCTTACTGCTTTGAGGGCAATTTAACATAGAAAGAAAGATAACCTGAAAAGGTGATGCCAAGGCTCTGACATAAATAAACTCTTCAGTCAATGATGTGTCTACAGCTATCAAAAAAAAGAAAATGAGGAAGAGCTTAAATCTGAGCAGAAAAGATGTCACACTTACAGTTCATATGAGCAAAGTACTCTGAATCATGGTCTGGCCCTTGCTCATGCAGCATCTTAGCTGCACTGTCTACCAGGACAGACACTAGCCACAATGGGCTACTTAAAATAAAGTTAATTAAAATTAAATACAATTTAAAATTTAGTTCCTCAGTACCACTAGCCATAGTTAAAGTGCTCAGTAATCATATGTCAGTGGCTAGCTAACTAGATAGTACAGGATAAGCACAACATTTACATCACTGCAGAAAGTTCCATAATGCAGCGCTGATGTAGCCTGAAACAGCCTTCTCTGAAAGCCACCAATTTACTAACTGTCATTACTTACTCAGGTTTGTAAGACATATAAAACTTGATAGATCTTGTAGTGGTCTTTTTACTTATGTAATCATGCCTTGGCTTTTTTAGAGCAATACCAATATTATTTATGTTGTATACTTTTAATAACATGAACCATTAAAAGTAAAAGTAAATGAATCAAATTAAATTTTTTTAGAACTGTTTATATAAGCAACCAGACAAAATCTTTTGTCACACCATGTGTCCCAAATTTTGACGCAAGAAAAAACCAAAACAACCCATGTATATGGTGAATGCAGCCATGATATTGCTCTGGGAAGAACCGCTACTTTCTCCAAGGGGCCGTAGGCACCCTTGCCTGTGTCTTGTACTCACCGAACTTTAGGTGGGTCTGAGCCTGGGGAAGCAGCTGAGCCACCTCCCTGCTGACACCTGCAGGGAAGAGAGTACACTCTCTGCACCACCACTCGGACTCCGCCTCCTGACAATGTGGTGGCTCCTTGGTTTTCTACTGCATCCAGGAGAGAATCCCTCAGGGGAGCCTGAGCTGGGTAGTGCTGTTTTGCTTCTTTGTGCCCGTGGGTCCAGTGTGTCCCCATGGCGGTGAGACCACTACACCTAACCTGGCCAAGACACACAAAGGGAATAATTTCAGTTTGACTCATAATGGCATGCTACATATCAAATAATGAAATTCTTAGGTAATCTTCTAATGTAACTGCAGAACACTAAAGGAATGATGAAGATAAAAAACAAACTTATGGTGTGGGCCTCTATGTCTGCCAAATAACTAATGCTGCTGGGGAGGGCAAGGTGAGCAAGAAGAATATGGAAACAGCAAAGAGTGTTTCCTACCAACTGAAGCACAGATCATCTTGGGTCTGTGAAAACATATAAAAAGTCCTGCTGTTAAAATACCTCATGGTAGTCAAAACGTTTTTTCCTTTTATTAGGTAACAAGCCCAACAGGACAAACTAAAAAGCAAAATAAAAGGATGACTAGGGTTTAAGCGCTTGTTATGTGCAGTCTACTAGGCTAGGCACTTTACATGCTCATGTAGTCTCCCAATAACCCTTTACAATAACATTAAGTATCATAATAAGACAACACTTCTAGAGTGCTTCCTACATTCCAGGCACTTTTCTTTACACCTTGTGCTTACATAACAAACGTATTTAACCTCACAAGAACCCAAGGAGGTAGATTATAGCATTATCATCATTTTACAGATAATAATATTGAGACACAGAGGAAGTTAAATATCTTGCCCAGGACACCCAGCAGAAAGTAGGCAAGGCAGGATTTGAACCAGGGCACCTGGTTCCAAAGTCCAAATTCTTAACCACTATGCTATACTGCAACTTTACTATCATTGTTGTGAGACGAAAACATATCTCATGAATTTAATATCACATAGCTGTTTAAAACTATATCTTAAAGCAATAATGCACATTGAGCCATATTTTAAATGCTACAATGAAACTGATTACAGAGTCCTTGTTTCTGTATACTCCCCTCCAGACACTTCTTTTTGATAGTCAAAGGGAGATTCTGCTTGATTACACACATACGAATCAGGATGAAAGTTTGTCTACGTGTCTATCTATCTTCTTTCCCCTCCCGCTATCTGTCAATCTCAGCATTCTGTTCAGTGCCGATTCAGGTAACTTGGTGACTCTGAGGCAGGCGCACTTGGAGTTACAGACACTTAAAGCTGGGAGTGGTCCCAGGAGTGCCCTTAGTGCCCACTATGAGTGAACTTCAGTGGTTCCCGAAATTCTTTCTGGCAGACGGTCATGGCTCAGCGCCAATAAAATTCCAAAAAACAATCTCCAGTGTATAATCTAAAGTTTATGCAGCTCTCTCTTTTTATCCCAAGGGATACAGATATTATTAAAAAGAAAAACATGAATTTTTAATAAATAAAAGAGGGCTTAAACAAGATTCTTAGATATTTAGAAGATAACAGAAAAAAATGAAAACATAATAAATAAGAATCAAGATTAAAAATACATCATTAGAAAGATGAAAGTCTGTAAAAAGACTACAACTAAATACTGAACTGAACAATAATTTCTTCAGGCATAACAATAATAACAAGATGCTTTAGCACATATATTCGCAGGGGAACCAACGGTAAACATCTTCACTTATACCAAAGCCCTTTCAAATCCAACATTATTACAAAGCATAAAACTTCCAAGCCAATGAGAATTTACCTGGTTTTCAGGTGAATTATTTGTTGGACTCTTAAATCTAAACATCTGGGCTAAAGTGATGTTTCTTCTTGGAAGGGGTACGTCCCAACAGTGCATTTCATGTGTTGTTTTTGAATCTTCTTTGGCAACAACTTTCTGACAAAAATAAGTATTCAGAATAACAGGGAAACTTCCATTTGGCATAATAAGCTTTTGCCTGGAAAAGGAAAAGAAATACAACAGTTTATTTGCAATGTTGGATTCCCCTCGTCTTCTTGCTAAATCAGGAATACAAAGAGCAAAAGACTTGCCTGCTCCGTACAGATAAACCCAAGCCAGCCCACTAAGTGACAGCTGCCCTCGTAGGCTCAAGAGTGACTGTCAATGGACCTGATTTTACTTTTCCAGTGAAAGGCCTATGTCAGGAGAAAGGTGAATGGAAGAAGCACCTGGACTTTGCTCCCTCAGGTCCTCCTAGTCTGGTAGATGATGGCCTTAGGACACCTCAGGGAAAAATGCAGGGAGTGAACAAATACTATCAACAGGCTCAAAGAATTGCCCAGACATTGAAATAAATGTTATTTACAAATAAAACCTTCAGACATTTCAACAGCTCTGATCTTTCAAAGAACATGACATGAAATGCTAAAGGAACTTCTACCTTTGCTATCAAATGGACCACAGTCACTGAAATTCCTCATATTTAAGTAGAAAAGGAGTCTGGCAATATAATAGACAAAATTCTCTTAGTTCCTCTCAGACATCTGATTTGAGAAGACTCTTTAATTCTCATTCTTTAAAACAGGTAGAGCTGTTTAACATTAGGAAAAATTAAGACTTCCACTTCTGGGAAGAAAAATAGACACATTTTTCCCTATTTTTCCTATTAAGTACAACTAAAATGCCTGACATTATATATAGACTAAACATAAGAAGATGCTGAGGGGCTGGCCCCATGGCCGAATGGTTAAGTTTGTGCATTCTGCTTCGGCGGCCCAGGGTTTCGCTGGTTCGGATCCTGGGCACGGACATGGCAGCGCTCATCAGGCCATGTTTGGGCAGTGTCCCACATAGCACAACCAGAGGCACTCAAAACTAGAATATACAACTGTGTATTGGGGGACTTTGGGGAGAGAAGAAGAAGAAGAAGAAAAAAGAAGACTGGCAACAGTTGTTAGCTCAGGTGCCAATCTTCCCCAAAAAAAAGAGTTCAAGAAAAAAAGTAAAAAAAAAAAAAGATGCTGAAAGGTAGAGAGAAGGCAGGCAGACCAGCTAGGACCTAGAGATCTTAGGACAAAAGAACAACACAGCAGTGAGTTCCTGGGTTTTCTTTTTGCATCATATATCTGAGACTTGGAACTAAAGAACCTGGCAACATGGAAACAGCAATGGGTATAAACAACAAAAGCCCCTACAAAAGCTTACTCTCTCCAACCACAGGACCAGGGAAGGGGCAGCCTAGTGTGACAGAAAACTTTCAGAAAATAACTTCTCTACTCTAAGGAAGTATCACAGAAAAATTGTGACATCACCACACTTCAGCAAAGGGCAAGTGGGGAGCGCAGACTTTCGCCCTCATCAGGTTGCAGTGGGGCCCAGTTAGGGTGGTATGAGAGAAGGTGGGATAGAGTGTTAGGACTTTCATCTCCATAGGCTTGTAATGAGCCCCCTTGCCCACCCCACACACATATCATGATGGAGACCATCTGGCAGGGAAGCCTGGACTTCCACCTGACCTGACATTAGTAACTAAACATCTCTTCCCACCTGTCTGGTCTAGAGTCAGAGCTGGCTTAGCAGAGAGTCAGGACTTTCACACTACACAGGGATACTGAGACCACCCTCTACCCTCCCATCTTCTGCCAGTGTTGTCAGTGTAAGTCACGTGGGGCGCAGTAACAAGGCACCCCTGGTTCTCTCAGTCAGGCTGATGTCAGCGGAGGCCTCACAGGAAGCTGGAGCTCATGTCTGCCCAGCAGTAACAAGGAGTCCTTCCTGCACTCAGGTATCAATGGAGGTCAAATGGGGATCTGAACTTCTACTTCCACCTGGCAAAACAAGCCCCTCATTCTCCTCCACTTCTCCTCTCAGAGCAGTGTCAGACAAAGCCCCCTAAAACAGATTTAAATAAGATCCAGTCTCATATCATAATACCTAAAATGTACAGGTTGACATCTAAAATCACTTGTTATACTAAGAACCAGGAAAAATCTCAACTTGAATGAAAAAAGACAATTAATAGATGACAATGTTGAGATGACACAGATGTTAGAATGATGTGACAAAGATTCTAAAGCAGCCGTTATAAACATACTTCAATAAGCAATTACAAATGCACATGAGACAAATGAAAAAACAAAGCGTCTTGGAAAGAAATAGATTTATTAAAAATGGAAATTTTAAAAGTAAGAAATAATGAAAATTAAAAACTCAATAAATGGGTTAAACAGCAGAATGAGACAGAGAAAAGAATCAGAGAACTTGAAGATAAAATAGCAGAAATTAACCAGTATAAAAAACAAACAGAAAATAGACTGAAAAGAAAATTAACAGAACCTCATGATCTGTGGGAAGGAAAGATAAAAATGGACAGGTATAGGTAAATATAATAGGCTTTCCTACCCCAGTTGAGTTTTCAAAATTACATTTGGAGTTGAAGCAAAAATTATAACACTGTCTGAAATTGTTCTAAATAAATGCAGAAGAAATATTTAAGACAATCATATGATAAATGACAACAGTAAAGAGATATAAGAAGTAAGGTTTCTACACTTCACAAAAACTGGTGAAATGTTGACCCAGCAGACAGTGATATGTATATAAAATGTAACGCCTAGAGCATCCAATAAAATAGCTATGAAAAGAGACACACACAAAAACATTATAAATGAAAAAAACATTAAAGTCAAATTCTAAGAAATGTTCAAGCAACCCACATGAAGCCAGGAAGAAGAAAACAAAGAAATGAAAAACAGAGAGAGAACAACACAGAGAAAACAAAAAATAAAAAAGTAGACTTATGTCCCAATAAATAAATAATTACATTAAATGTAAATGGTCTAAATATACCAATTAAAAGACAGTGATTAGCAGAGTGGATTAAAAAACATGATCTATCTAAATGCTGCCTACAAGAAATTCACTTCCAATATAAAGACATGGATAGAATGAAAGTAAAAGGATGGGAAAAAATACATCATGTAAACATTAGTACAAATATAGTGGGGGGAGGGGTATTAACATCAGAGGAAGTAGCCTTAAGAGAAAATAAAATTATTAGAGACATAGAGGGACATTACATAATGATGAAAGGGTCAACCCACCAAGACAACATTAAATGTGTGTGCACCAAACAACACAGATTTGACACACATGAAGCAAAAACGGATGAAACTGAAAAATTGGCAAGTGCACAATTAGAACTGGAGACTACAACACCCCTCTCTCAACATTTGATAAAATAACTAGACAGAACATCAGCAAGGATGAAGAAGAGTGCAACAACACTATCAATCAATAGGATCTAATTGATGTTTATAGAATACTCTACCCAATAACAGCCAAATACATATTCTTTTCAGGAGCCCACAAAACATATTCCAAGACAGACCATATTATGGGCCATAAGACAAACCTCAACAAATTTTAAAAAACTGAAATCATACAGAGTGTGTTCTTTGATCACAATGGAATCAAACTAAAAATCAACAGAAAGATAACAGGAAAATCTCCAAACACTTGGAAAGAAAACAATATGCTTCTAAGTCATTCAAGGGTCATAGAGGAAGGGTCCAGCAAAATTAAAAAAGCAAAACAAAACATTGAACTGAACTGAGTGAAAATGAAAATTTAATATATCAAATCTTGTGGGAAACAGCTAACAATACTGAAAGGAAATTTTATAGCACTTAAAGCTTACATTAGAAAAGAGGAAAATTCTCAAATCAATAACCTAAGCTCCCACCTCCAAAACCTAGGGAAAAAAAGAGCAAAATAAACCCAGAACAAATAGAAAGAAATAAACAATAAAGAACAGAAGTCAATGACACTGAAAATAGAATAACAAAAGACAAAAAATACTGCAACAGAGTTGACTTTTTGACATGATAAATAAAACTGACCGATAAAGAAAAAACAAAGAAGATAGAAATTGCCAATATCAACATTGAAAGAGAGGCTATCACTAACAGACCATGTAGATATCACAAAGCTAGTAAGGAACTACTATGAACAACTCTACATATAAAAATTTTAACAACTTAGATGAAATGGACCAATTTCTCAAAAGCACAGGCTACCATAACTCAAACAGAAATAGATGATTTGAATAGGCATAACTAGCAAGGAAAATGAAGATGTAATTTAAAGCTCCCAAAAAGGTTACTACAGGTCCAGATAGTTTTACCCAGAAAATTCTACCAAATACGCAAAGAAGAATTAAGACCAAGTCTATATAATCTCTTCCAGAATATACAAGAGGAGGAAACACTTGCCAATTCATTTTGTAAAGGTAGTATTACCCTGATATAAAAAGTAGACAAAGACAGTACAAAAAAAAAAAGAAAACTGCCGACCAACATCTATCAGGAATATAGATGCAAAAATCCTTAACAAAATATTAGCAAACAGAATTCAGAATTACATAAAAGGAATTATACAATATGACCAAGTGGAGTTAATTCCAGGGATGCCAGGCCTGTGTGATATTTGAAAATTATCTTCGCCACATTAAAGATGAAAGAAAAGTCCTATGATCTCAACAATCGATGCAGAAAAACCATTTTACCACATTCATAATAACAAACTCAGAAAACCAGAAATAGATAACTCTCTCAACTTGATAAAGAGCATCTACAAAAATCCTAGAGCTAATATTATAATTACTGGTGAAAGAATAAATACTTTTCAACCTAAGATGGGAAATAAGGCAAAGATGTCTGCTTTCACCACTTTCATTCAACATAGGACTGGAAGTTCTTGCCAGTGCAATAAGGCCAGAAAAGGGGGCAAAAATGACATAAAGATCAGAAAGGAAAAAACAAAACTTTCCATATTTGCAGATGACATGATTGCTTTTGCAGAAAATCACAAGAAATTTACAAAATAACTTCTAGAACTAATAAGTGAGTTCAGCAAGGTCACAGCATATACAAATATCAAATCTTTCTACATACTATCAATAAACATGTGGACACCAAAACTAAAAATATAAATCAC